TCAGCACAATTATAGAGAGAGATAATAGATTATACTACTACTACTACTGCTACTACTACTACTACTACTACTACTACTACTACTACTACTACTACTACTACTGGTGGCCCAGTTTTCCTGTAGTAAAGAGACCAACTTATCCTAAGCAAACTTATGTTTTAGTAGAGGTTTTACGGCGCTCGCAACTGCATAAGGTCATATGAGCGTCAAAAAGCAAACTTATCCCATCGGACTGGAGCATGGTGAACGAAAAACACAGCTTTGTTCTCATATGGAGTATGCAGCCCATAATATAATATTAGCCTGCTATGTAGTTCTAGATTTCCAATAGCCTACCGCTTTCCCGGTTGTTGTTTTGTTGTTGTTTTTTTCAGACATGCCTCGTAGGCCTACCTACGGACGAAAACCCGAATCAGGATTCCCTACATTTATTTCACATGAATTTTTAAAAAAAAGAGTCGATGGAAGCTTTCCGGAATGGTAAGACTGTCCAGGAACAATCAGCAGACTTCTATGTGTCAAAATCGGCACTTGGTCGTTGTGTGCAGAAGGTGAAAGTATGGGCTGGTGAAAGCCTCCAGCCGAACAACCGGCAAAAGAAAAAGGTATTCTCTGAAGCACAAAACTGGACACTCGCCGACTATCTTAAACATGTTCAGACACGTTTTATGGGCTCGCAACAAACTACACTCGTACGTTAGCCCATGAAAGGACAATACAGAGCAATATGGAAGTTCCAGAGGTGTGGAATGACAACACAGAGACTGGTAAAGAGTAGTTATTTCACTTTTTGACAAGGCGCTCGGATCCGTCTCTGCACCGTCCAGGGGCGACTTCTCTCTTTTAAAAAAAGTTTAAATTTGAAAAAAAAAGCGTCGGTCTTCAACCGAGAGAGTATAGCTAGGTTTCCCCATATTGTTGCATTCACGCATTCTTGCATTGTATCAGCATTCACGCATTCTTGCATTGTATCAGCATTCACGCATTCTTGCATTGTATCAGCATTCACGCATTCTTGCATTGTATCAGCATTCACGCATTCTTGCATTGTATCAGCATTCACGGTATACAACGGTGTATCAGCATTCACGCATTCTTGCATTGTATCAGCATTCACGCATTCTTGCATTGTATCAGCATTCACGCATTCTTGCATGTACTGTATTACTCATCGTAACCTTGTCACAAAATGTTGCGTCGTTTCTGCAAACGGAATTTCTCTGCCACCAGTCTTCATGTTCCCTGGAAGTTAAAAATTTTGAAGGATGATAATAATATACTAGATTTAGTAGTGAATCGTATCGAGCAATGGGTAGATGAACTCAGACATTTCCCGCATTTTGCTTAGCCGGCCTATCAAGGAGAATCAAGCCATTTTAATAATAGACAATCACCAGAGTCATTTGTCAATAGTTTCTCTTGAACTAGCTAAAAAGAACGTTATGCTCCTAATCACCCTATCAACACACACAATAAATTAAACAAACACAGCCATTTGATCAGAGTATCTTCGCTATACAATTTAATTCAATTGCTAACAGTTCCCCGCTCAAAAATCCAGGACAGATCATCATCATTTACAATACGGCATCTGTGAAGAACAATGCATAGACTAGAGCAGCCATCCCTGAAAGCATTATGTCTGGCTTCAGAGCCAAAGGGATCTGGCCTCTGAATGTTTTTTTTAAAACAAGATTTCAAGATGATTTAAACAGAATTCATTTTAAAGGCCTTTGGCCCATGCATCCACACATTAAAGCACATGACTCGGCATATACATAAATTCGTGCAGCACTTAATATTAAAATAATTACAAAAATGGTGACATAGGGCCTCTGAATGAATTGCTATTTGAAGACCGCGATTTTTGCCGTCAGCTGTAACTGATCGACCACTGCAAGATCAAGGCACATTATCCTCAGATCCTGCCAGCCCAACCTCAGTTTTTCTACCTGTGAAGTCATGTCCTGCTTCACCCCAATCACCGGCCCAATTTCCATATTACCGCCCCGTGCATCATGTGCATATAACATAATTCTCATGTTTAAAACCATTTTATTATAATCTTTTAGTTTTTGTGTTACATTTTATGTACCTCAAAACATTTTCCGTGTACTCACAAAATCACACCTTTTTATGTGATTTCAAAGTTGCCAAAACTTTGCAAAGTCCAGGAACATTCAAATGCCTGTCATTTAAAAAATTATTTATTGTCCGATTTCAATAATTCAAACACCAAAGTTCATGATTTCCATAGATCTTTATGATGCGAAAAACAGAAGTTAGATCAAAACATTTAGAAATTTTGCTTTGTGATAGTGCTGCTAATGTTACCCTTGGACGGCCAAATTCTGGGTCGGTTTTGAATAGAGACCGAGTCACAAGGTGGCGTCATCTCAGTAGGCTGATAGTCCTTCTGCTGACGTTGAATGTCTTCGCAACAGCAGCGCCCAATCACACCGACGGCTTGATTTTTCTGATTTTGAATTAAACGTACCATCTCTTTGGGTGACAATGATCAAATGTTGATGGGGTTTTAATACATAATTGATGTTCCTATATTTTCCGACTCTCACCCTTTAGCCGACAAGCCTCGTGTGTCTCCGACAACCAACAATAAACAAAGACGGGCCAGGACTCACAGGCTCTCTCCTTCCCCTCCACAACAAACTGTCCACACAACACAACAATGTCATCATCACAGATTGTTCACTTGGTCACTCCCTGACCAGCTAGACCGGGTACACAATGGGCGCCTTTGGCTTTGTCTATGGTGGACATAAGTACAGATGAGCCTAGTCAAATCCTTTATTATACTATTATGCACAAAAGAAAGATGCTCAGGCACAGACTTTATCCTTTGATTTCGACAGAGAATTTTAATTTAATTCCCGTGAAATGATCACGCTTTTGTCACAACTTGTCTTTCATTACAAGTCATCAATGGGCTATAGTCTTAATACAAACCGTGTTTCTGCCAGAGAAACAGACACAGTTAAGGAGGAAAATTTTAAAAATGAATTAATAAAAAGATCAGTCAGAGAATGAATGGCAAAAATAGTGCGAGGCTGTAAAAGTAAATGTTTGTCGGTAGGAGGTTCTAGCTGTCTGTTACTTCTGTAATTGTCAGAGGTTACATTTTTCCTTTCAGTCAGTAACCTTCACTGTTCTGAATATTCAACTCAGATTAAAAAGAAAGCATTTAGACCAAAAGACTGCTAAACAATAGTCCGTTATTCAATTCTGCCCCAGCTTCATCTCAATACACAATAGATGAATTAATATTTCCCAACCTTCCCCCTCTGACCAACAAGCCTCCCACGTCTCCCAAAACCAACAATAAACAAAGACGGGCCAGGACTCACAGGCTCTCTCCTTCCCCTCCACAACAAACTGTCCACACAACACAACAATGTCATCATCACAGATTGTTCACTTGGTCCACTCCCTGACCAGCTTGTCCAGGTACACAATGGGCGCCTTTGACTTTTTCTAAGGTGGACTTAAGTACAGATGAGCTTAGTCAAATCCTTTATTATACTTTATTAAGTCTTTGTATGGGATGCTGTGGAATGTTGTTCCATATGTTTGTAAGTGCTGTACGTAGCTGATCCAAGGTGACCGGCTGAGGTCTAAGGCGTCGGCACAAAGCCGGGGCACTTATGGTTCTCCGCCCCGGCTACTCCCTGGCTGTCTTGGTAGGCAGGCCGGAAGCGATCTCGTAGGTGCAAGACCCCAATGTAGCGGTCATGGGCTGGTGTTGTAGCTCTGGGACAACCCGTCTGGGGACCATCCTGCACGGATCTAGACGTCTGCAAACGATTCATTAGTCGATATATCGTGTCTCTTGTCACATTGAAGGTCCTTGCAACATTCGCTATTGGCGTATTGGCCCTCAGCATACCAACTGCCTGGTTGCGCTTTTCGTTCGCTAAACGCGGCATGCTATATCTTTAGATTTAGATGTTTTGAAATGAAACTTTTAACGTTTTATTCTTGGCTACAGATAAAAGATGTGTTAAACCCATAAAATAAAAAAACCCCAAAACGTTCGAGAAAAATGACAAAACACGGTTTTTAACAAAAAAAGACCTGAGCTTTATTAACTGGGCACCTGATCATAAATGCAGGCTGATCAGGAGCGTCAAGTGTTCACAATCACATGTGGAAAATTTCAGCTCAATGGGTTTTCAACTTTTCATGAAACACGCAATTTAAAAAATGTGTCTGGTTTTTATTGACTCTAAGTGTATTATGCACAAAAGAAAGATGTCCAGGCACCGACACAATCCTTTGATTTCGACAGAGAATTTTAAGTTATTTCCTGGTGAAATGAGAATTTTAAGTTATTTCCTGGTGAAATGATCCCGTCTTTGTCACAACTTGTCTTTCGCTTCAAGTCATCAATGGGCTATGGTCTTAATACAAACCGTGTTTCTGCCAGAGAAACAGACACAATTAAGGAGGGCACTCATGGCCTAGAGGCTAGGGTGTTCTCTTCTCATTCAAAGGTCCCGGGTTGGAATCCGGGTAGCGACCGAATAATTTTCTTCTCTAAAATTGTCTCCTTTCATCTCCTTTTCTGCTTTCTTGCAATGTTCTGTCGTCTGCTTTTGTCTCCTCTTTCTGCTCCCCCCCCCCTCTGACCTCCTTTGCCCCCTCCTCTGGGCTACTGACTCTCTCTGCAGCCTTTCTACTGCTACTCCTTGGCTCCTTCTTACTGCTGTCTTTCAGCCACACCCCTGACCTTCTGGTAGGAAAGATCTACACCTAGCCTTCTCGGACAAGGGCGAAAAATATCGGAGGATCCGTGTGCAAGTTGTGCACGTTAAAGATCCCTTGGTCGTCTAAAATCGATAAGAGTAGGCTTCGGCCGCCGACAAGGCAAAATTCAAAATTTCCTACCAACTGAAAAAGTTTAACGTGTCCCTCGCGATCATATGGCTTTATGCAGTTACGAGCGGCGTAAAACACTTACCCTCCAAAAAAGACACAACTAAGGAGGCAAACTTTGAAAATAAATTAATAAAAAAAGATGAGTCAGAGAAAGAATGGCAAACATAGTGCGAGGGCGTAAAAGGAAAAGTTTCTTGTTTGGAGGTTCCAGCCGTCTGTTACTTCTGCTGAGGTTACATTTTTCCTTTCTGTCAGTAACCTTCATTGTGCTGAATTTCTACTCAGATTTAAAAGAAAGCATTTAGACCAAAAGACTGCTATACAATAGTCCGTTATTCAATTCTGCCCCTACTTCATCTCAATACACAATAGATGAATTAATATTTCCCAACCTCCCCCTCTAACCAACAAGCCTCCCACGTCTCCCAAAACCAACAATAAACAAAGACAGGCCAGGACTCACAGGCTCTCTCCTTCCCCTCCACAACAAACTGTCCACACAACACAACAATGTCATCATCACATATTGTTCACTTGGTCACTCCCTGACCAGCTAGACCGGGTACACAATGGGCGATGGTGGCTTTGTTTACACTTGACTGAATACCATAGACTAGTTTCAATTTTTCAAAAGCGTAATGTTGTCCAAATCTATTTCCTTGCTCTGTATTTCAAGTCACCAGTGAGCAACGGTCTCAAGATCTTGTTACTGTTAGAGACAACGGAAACGTTCAGAGAAAATTTTAAAAATTTAAAATCTAAGCATATTTTCAAAGGCATTGATTAAAAAAAAATAGCGAGAGAGCGTTTTAAGGTAACGAAGCAAAAGTTGTACGGAGGTTCTAGCAGCATATCTTTTTCTTGAACAGTCAGAGATCTCACATTTCTCGTTGCTCTCGGTGACCTGCACAATGCCAAATAAAATAATATATAAAAAAAAAAAACAGCAACCCAACTTCACATTAATATAACTAACGTCATTGTTAAATATTTTCTGTCGGACTTTTCAGTACACAATGAATATCCATAGAAGCATTTTCCAGCCTGCAAGTCTTAAATCTTTCCCCAAAACAACTAAACAATAAACAAAGACGGGCCAGAACTTAGAGTTCCCCACCTTGCCCTCCACGACAAGCTATCAAAACAACACAACAATGTCATCATCAGCGATACAGGGACTCCCGGTAACACCTTCCTCTCCATAGCCATACTGTCTAAACAAACAACAACAACGTCACAATCAAAGATTTCAAACTTGGTTCACTCAGTCGCAGGCTGGCCCGGGCACACAATGGCCGCTGAGGTGTTGACACGTCTTTGATGTTAGCCGCCATGGTCAGTGGGTACGTAATTTATCCCCCCTGATTGAGTCTTACACCTCAGGGCAAGATCTCATCCGCGTACATCGGTTGATATAAATATCGGAGAATCAGTTTCTGTGGTCAGTTCAGTCAGAACCTGCTTCCAGTCTACATCGTTCCCTGAGTTTATCAACCGAATTTGCGTCGCGTTGTACATGGAGATGGAGAAAGTTAACGAGCATGCTGCTGCCTTCAACGCCTTGAACTTGGATAGAGGCCTCTGTGTCGGCAAAGGAGCCTCGGGCGAGGTCTTCCTTGCATCATCTCGAGACGACGTATCCAGGAAATGTGCCGTGAAGATATTCGACCTGGTGAAAGACAACCGTTGTCATGAGTGGGGCTTCATCAATGAAGTTGATGTCTTGAAGGAGCTTCGCCATCCACGTATCGTCTCGTTACTGGCGTATTTGGGCAGCCCTCGCCACGGATATATTGTCCTTAAGTACTACCCGAAAGGGAGCCTGGAGAAGAGTCTCGGAGCTTTGAAGCCCCCACAGGTGCTTGGTTATATTCGTGATATCGGGGAGGCGCTAGAACACACACACAGTCGAGGAATTTTCCACCAGGACATCAAGCCGGCCAATGTTCTTGTGGACGAGGAAGACAGAGCGGTTCTGTGTGATTTTGGCTTGTCAGGACAGTTGAAGAACGGCAACACCAAAGTGACCAGATGGGTGACCACTCCAGGCTTCCAAGGACCTGAAACCAAGACAGGACAAGCGATGTGCCCTTATAAGGTAAGAAATCGTTTTTATTTTTGTATGTAAACTACTATTTTTTGGTCAATGTTTCTCCCAGTGTTTGTCACTGTTTGTCGAGCTTTTCGTTCTTTTTGTCCCAGATTCTCCTCCAGCAATCTCTTTCTCTCTGTCTCTTTATATGTTTTCCCCTTATTCAATCTCTCAAACTCCCTCTCTCTCTCTCTCTCTCTCTCTCTCTCTCTTTCTCTCTCCTTCTCTCTCTTTTTTTCTCTCTCTCTCTCCTTCTCTCTCTCTCTCTCTCTCTCTCTCTCCTTCTCTCTCTCTCTCTCGCCTTTTTTTTGCCTATCCATTTCTTTCTCTCTCCCTATCCATTTCTTTCTCTCTCTTTCATTCCTTAATCTTCATCTTTCTCTCTTTCTGATCACCCTCTCCACTTGTCTCACTTTCCTTATGATTCTATCTACATGTTTTAGTAACTATCAGCATTACATGTCTAAGTCTCCTTATGTATTATGTATGTTCTATCTTTGCCTCTTCTATCT